CCCCAAAACCCCAAAACCCCTGCTGACTTTAATTTAGAGGATATAGTAAAAATGTTTTTGAAATTAAGATTATATAATTCATTCATTATTCGAACAAAAGATCATTGTTTGCTTATGTTTCAGGGAGTATTTCATCGCTTTAAGGGTTCAGCTCCTCTTGAAAATTTTTTAATGAAACTGCTGACATACCATTTCTTTCTTATTATTCGCTCATTAAAATATCATCTAACATTGAGAAATTAGAATCATTCCCTATTGAGTCTCGAATTGAGTCAGCAGTTAACTCTGATCTCTTGTCCATTCTCTTCAGTAGATCTTAAGATCCTTAAACTAAGTTTTTAAGAATTTAGTTGATTTTCAGTTATCTCTTCATTAGCTAATCTTTATGATCATCTGGTGATGATATCTCAGGATGCTTGAAGTAAGGTGTTTACTCTGTGTATCTAAAGAATAGCTCTTTCCAAACTTTAAGTTCATAGTAATTAGTGACTGGAATTTTAGGAATCTATTCTTATCTCTCTGAGTCATAAAAAGGATTTAAAAATTGCTCAGAGTAATGATTAACATGAGTCCACATTGACAAGGTTTTCTCTCTTAATTTGAACTTATGTCTCTCCCTTTGAGTATTGAACAAGAAAGTGCCATATTTGCATGTGTATAATTCAGTAATTATGAAAAGCAAAAGCTTCTTGTTAAATTAGAAATGAGTAGGGAATTGATGCATTAACTGATATACAGCATCTAAAAATTGAGTAAAGACTGGGCATCTTTACTCATCTTTGTAATTTTTATTAAAATGCCCATATCTCCTTTAAAACATATGTCCAAATGATAGCCAGTCTTTCTCAATTAATATCTAAAATCCTTTTAGAGTTCTAAAGAATGGATCCAATAAAATCTGTGAAAGACTACAAAGTTGAGCAGTTCTATCCCACCCATCAGAGCAATGTACTAGAACATTTTGCTTATCAATCATTATTTTCTCCACTACTTTGTTTGTACTTATCAAGATCTTTGACATTATTTAAAGCCATCCAGAATTATCAAGTTAAGTTAGCCATTTTGATGAATTAGAAAAGATCCAAGGCTGTAAACTCATTTCATACACTTTATTTATTGCATCTCTCACTCCATGTATATTATCAATGTCACAGAAAGATATATCACAATTAACATAGTTATCTTTAACATTTTCAAAGCCACCCTTGTTAACTCTATTTGCCAATGCATTAATGTAGGACCTAGCATCAAATATTTGCAGCTTTTTTGTTGCATCTGGGTTAGTCCTTCCAATCTCAAGAAGCAACAATTCGTCCTCTGGACTTCTACTAGTTATAAAACCAGTCTAAAATGATCAATTTTTATTATGTTACCATAGTTTAGCTTGATCTCCAAATAGAGCATTCAGATTTCTTGTCATAATAAGTCATACTTGGAAATCTAAACTTTGTCCTGAATCTTGCACTCACAAATAGTGTACTATCCTTAAAAGAAGCTGGGATTACATGCATGAGAGGATAGGAAGGACTCAATAAGTGATCTTGATTTATATACAACTTGAATGGTGATTTCTAAAATAATAAAAATTTGAATAAATGCTTACTCCCTCAAATATCACACCTTATCTCTTAAATTCTAGATCAGGGGATTAGTAAATATCCCATCCATTTTCAAGGCATTCTCTCTGAAGATCTAAGCTAGGGTCGAAGAACTTAAATGCAAAAATATCTCTCAAGTCACTTTCAGGGAATGCAAATATTTATATTCTTTGCATTGCATCATTGCATTAATCCATATTTTCAAAAATGAGTTTAATATACCTGAAATCCTTCGTAAAGATTTCTAGGAAGTTTATTTTACTTGTCTTCTTATCGATAATAGTTTTATCAATTTTGTTGATGCATGTCAGGGCAATATTAAGATATGTTTCTATGAATGTTGGTATTTTAAGATTCGACTTGTTGATCTTTTCATTTTAGACTGATTGTACTTAAGCAATCGTCTAATGCTTGAAAATTAGCTTGAAGTTGGTCATTATAAGATCTCCTTCCAAAGTAGGGCAATTTATTGAGACATTGCAATCGCACTTAACCTTTATTTTCATTACCTATTCTTCTCCACATTCTATTTCATCGTCGATAAGGCCTTAGATTTTCTTCTTTTAAGATTTCTAATTCAAACTCTTTCGCACTCTTTCAACCAACGGCTCAATCTTTTCAGCTTCTTCCTCAATTTTCTGCTCTTCCCCTGCTTCATTCTATTCATTTTCAAATGGTTAGTCATCATCAGCATTATCTCCATTGTTAGTCTGTTATAGTTCATATCCAAAGTCTTGAAAATGCTTTTGGTTGGGCAAGTCTTCTTGCTACTATCCTAGTCCATTATTGGCATCATAGAATGTAGATTGCTTTTCATTTTGCTAATCAAAAGGACTAGTTGATTTACTTGAACCATCTTGCTAGTATTACAGATCCTATTTTTACTGTAATTACAGCTATACCAACTATTTTTCGAGCTATTATGTCTATTCTTGCTCTTTTTGCTATTAAAGCAAACCTAAAAATTAAATATACCAATTCATATAATGTACTCATATTGTACTGAGGTTTGTTGATTATAGCACTAAATGGGTCGTCCCCAAGTTGAATTTTAGTCGACTCAAGTTTTTGGAGATTCTTTTGAGCTTCAACCACTGTTTGCCTTGTAGATTCCATTATTTAATTAATTCTAATTTATAGTATCAGATTGAAATAAATGTATCTAATTAACAAGCACCTCTATTTAGAAATCTGGGGTTTTGGGGTTTTGGGGTTTTGGGG